TCCATGTTGCTGTCACTTTGCTGCCACTGTGTTGCAGCTTTGACACCACAACTCCAACACATTCTTTAACAAAACATTTCAAAAAGGTATACCAAGTCATCAAACTTTTGCTCAGTTCTGGTCAACCAACTAACCAAATTGCCATCTTTCAACTCATCTAACTATCAAAGTTAATACAATTTGGAAAAATAAGATTCCAAATATGGAAGTTTCCACCTGGATGCTGAGTAAACAAAGGGGAAAACCATGAAAGGATCAATTTGAGCAAGCCAGCTATGGAAGTTTCCAAATATGTGGATGTTCCAATTTACGCATATGTTCTTAGCAATCAATCAAACAAAACAGCAAAACATTAAGGAAAATTAAATCAATTAAGCAGATCTGATTGCCCAATAATAAAATCCCACTAGAAGGAAAAATGCAAGTAAAACAATAAGCAAGACTCCAACATCTATCAGAAGGAATCAAACTCACAGAAGCAAACTCGTGCCCTGGCAAAAGTCCACCGATCTCCCTCAATACCGCGCCTAGTGTCATGGCAGGATAACTTCTGAGAAGCTGGCAGGCCTCGCTAGCTTTGGCCATGGCTGTTGTCTGATCCTCTGCAGTAACAAAAGGCAGAATTGGAGACTCACCCCAACCCACACACCCATTTCTCAACTCAATCCTGATAGCAACATTCTCAACCTTATCTAGCCGAGAAGAAGCTATGGTGAAAGGAGCAATCAAGGGTACATTCAGTGGTCTGTTCTCTGCTCTGTGCACTTCAACTGAGAAAGTTTCCATCAAATTGTTGAACCCAAAACTACTTGTTACTGCTGCTGGTGCGGCCATGGGTTTCGAGGCAGAAAGGCTGCAAATAGAAATTTGGGGCCTTGCAGATTTATGATGGGATCTTACAGGATTTAATGGGATTCTTTGGAATGGAGACAGGGACCCAATCGAAAGCATTTGCAATTGTTGTTTGAGGTTTTTGGGGTTTTGGGTGATGGGAATTGCCAAATCTTGATACTGGAGCTGCAATTGGACTGTGAGAAAGAGATCCTGCTAATTCACCAAACATAAAATATTCTTCATCATTCAGCATTTGGATGCATGTGTGATTGTTTGTCCCTGGCTCTTCTAAGTCATTCATCATTTTTTAGAACACTTCTAAAACCATACTTTCCAATTACCAATTACCATCATATCTTGAAACCAAAAAATTACCATCACATCTTTCTTCACATAAGCCAAAAATTTTCAGGTTGCTTACCAATTACCATCTTGTCTTTCTTCACATTTGCATTGTTTTTGCTCACTTCTATTGGAGGCCCCAGCATCACCCCACACTTAAAAAATATTATTTCATTTAAATAAAATTTAATTTAAAATTTAAAAATTTATTTTATTAAATATTAATACAAAATATTTTAATTTACAAATTAATTATATATTTTAAAATAATTTATTTCCATATAATTTTTAAAAAAACAGATCTATCTCTATATGGAGGGGTGAGTTTAGGGTTCACGATAAAATCTTTCGCTTGAGAAAAAGGGCGGCTGTCATCAGTTACAACGTCAGAAAAGCAATCAAGGGCTTATTTCTGGGCATCAGGTGCCAGCAAATATACCAAGTCGTAGGGGAAATGGAAAAGTTATAGAAAACAGAATACGCATATCAATAAAAAGGTCTCCCAATCTAAACAGATCATTTCCACTACTCCATGATTACAATCAGACTCTTCAAATTCTCGTCAAAATGGAGAGGAAAATTTTCCTTCAACACCGAGAGAAGACAGCCAGATCTCAGTCCCACCAGGTGAAGGGAAACGCGCACGCTTCCACCTCTTGCAGCTCATCCGGTGATCGGGATTCAAATTGCAGCAGTCAAGCGGCGGAATTTGCCTGCAGCGCTTGTGTCTGCTGTGTTTCGTGTCCGATTTCCATTGTTTGGTGTTGCGTCAAGCTGCCTTGCAAGATTGGGTGGCGTGCGGTGAAGAACGCCGTGGATTGGGTTCGTTCTTGCGGGTCGGGTAAGCAAGTTTTTGCAGAATATTCTTCGTTTTCCGATATTGATTCTGATCGTCTGCCCAGAAGAACGAATTCTTCTAGTGACTTGATTGGTTCGAAGGGCAGGATTGCGCATAGGGGTAATGGGTGAAGATGTAATACTAATAGGCTTTAGAATTGGGGGAAAAAAAAAATCTCAGTTCCATGGTTGGTTTTTTCATTTATTTCTTTTTTAAGCAAATATTACCACACAAGAAAAAATTGTTTTGCAATTTGAATTTAAACTATATACTCTCTAATTTTATAGTTTAAATTGCATAACAAGAGATTCAATCTGCACTGATGCAATGAGATTTTTTATAAATATTTGCTCAGAGATGCAACAACTCAACTCTGTGGTGGGTGAGAATGAGGTCTCTTTATGTACTCCAAGGGCATTTTATGTGATTCTTCTTGTTTCTACAAGAATTGGCCGGTGAAATCAATCATTCTTTTGACAAGAAGATAGTGGGTCAATACGGCAATACAATATTGATAGTTGGGTGTGAATAAACTTTCCACTCTTTCTTGTCACAAAACAAAAGAAAGTTAAAAAATGGGCGAAACAATTGGGATTTAGAAGAAAGATAATGCAATTTGAATGTGAATTCAATTAGAAAACTTTAAATTGGTTCTTGGACTTACAAGGTTGTCATAATTAAGGTGCATAGATTTATTCATTGGCAATTCAACCTTTTAACTTACTAAAATAGAATAAAAATGGTTCTCCTTACCTCCTTGATTGAGCATGACCCCGAGCTTCAATGGAATAAACACCAAAATACTTATATTCAAAAATGATCATTTCATAAAAATAGGTGGCCTGGAGCATAAAATGGTGTTTAAGGTGTAAAATGGCTCAAGTTAAAACCCACTAAGTTAATGACTCTTTAAACTAAGATTTACATATTCCTAACTAAAGTTATTAATTAAAGCTTAATAGCTGTGAGTTTTTATAATTATATACTAATCATATTCACAACTCTATTCCAAAATATAATGTAGGATTTGAGTCATTGTAAGGTGACTAGCAACGGCTCGAGGCGTGACCTCTAGGTTTGGAATGGCTCAACATAAGATCTTGAGCTTGGGTGGCTCAAGGCCGTGACTTGAGTCTTGAGACATGAGCTTAGAGACTTGGCATGACCCAACGTCCATTATAATTTTATTTATAAAATCTTTATTTAATAGTAGATAAATAAATAAAAGAGAAAAAGAAGGATTACCTTCAACTCAAAATCCATGGATATGGATTGGGTTATTCAAGGTTCTGGAGCCAAGTACTTTTGGTTTGGTCTAGAACTAGCCCAAACATGTAGATTTAATTTGTGTCAACTTGCACCTCTGAAGGTATTGAAGTTGCTACAAATGGAAAATAATACACCTTAAAATTGCTTTCTCTTTAATTTCCATTAATTAGAGTAGGAATCATTTTTAATTTTTATATAGAGAGCTCCCAAGTCACTTTATTTCATTATCAACCATATGTAGATCAGCTAAGCCTATTCCCTGGCCCTGTACATTAATATTTTCACAGCTTTTTTACATTCATGTGGGAATCTGAGTCTTCTTCTTAGGGTTTACAAGGGTTTCTTGTCTTTCACCGGACCTCTTGGTATCTTGTTAAGAACATTTGAATCAAACTTTGTGTATGCCTCCCAGCTCAATGTTCCAGCAAAATGATCAACTTCATCCTCGTACCGATCGTACAGGTATGGTAGTGTTAAAAGGCTGAGAAAGCCTGAACATTAATACATTAAAAGGCAAACAAGAGCAGGTTAAAAAATTTGAAGAATATATATATGACATCAGGTTACAAATACGTATTTTTCAATCTAGACTGGCTAAAAAAATGTCAGTTCAGACTGTATTTTTTGTCTTTTTGCAGCTCAAACAGGCTTTTTTTTAAACCCGTCCCTAAATGAAGAAGACATTTCTCTAGGCATCAGGTTATTCAATTCATTAATTATGTCTCACCAAGGAAAAGGAAATTCAGGAAGCTGAAACAGGATCCAATCAGGGACAATATGTATAGAGAAACGACTGTCTGGGAAAAAATAATTAGGATCATTAGTTTGATCATTAAGAAGTAAAATTGAAGAAAAAAATTATCTAAATTTGTATGGATGATGTTGGTGATACCAAAAGGAAGACTGCTAAATCTGCTCCACAAGCTATGTTGAGGAACTCTGACAAGAGCTGATTGGATCCGCTGTGGAAAGTCCAAGCGACTTCTTTCAAGGCAGCTTCTTGTTTCCATACAAACTCAGGAATGTTCGGAGGATTCCTGCACATAATTAAACCACAAATTTAAGAAATACTCCATGAAAATTGTAGTTAACATTTTCGGTGCTTGACAGCTCTAGAACAAGGTTTTGTAGAGAAATTACCAGTTCAAGTAGTCTACAGTCTTGTCCCATACGTAGATCACAAGCATTGTGGCCATAAGAACGTGACATACGAGTGTTACAAAGTTGTACTCAATAACCTCGAACAAAAACCAAATCACTGTCACCCCAATCAACAATGCTGCTGATACTTCTTTGTTTCTCCACAGTAACACATCCGCAACTGCAAATGTCAATTTTCTTGATTTTGTCAGTGTATTTTAGCCTTTAATTTGTTGTTCATTCTTTAAATTTGTCAGATACATGAAAAATATAACGCATAATGTAGCATATCTGAAATGTTTCAAAACCAAATATATATGCATTAGAGTGAATGCAGATGTAGTAATGTAACACCTTTTCCTCCTCCGAGAACCTGGTGCATCGGCCTCTGACGCCCAAAAAGCCTTGCATGTTTTCCATAGTCGGAATGGATTGATGAGTCGTATTTGGGCATGGTTGCGTTATGTTCTTGAGAGTATTGATCTTACATGTTCTGTTTAACATTTTTCAGCAATTTATATAGGGTAGGCTTCTATGCTTTGGGGTGAAGCAAGCATTGAACAAGCAAGGAATGGCTTGGAGGCCACTAATTAGTTCTCTGGGCCTGCTAATAAGAGAAGAAATGAATCTCATCGACGGAGGACAGCATTTTAACTTTTCAAAATCAACTTTACATATGCCCACATGAGAGGGGTGTTGGCTAAACTCGTAGGCAACCATAATTTTTGTTTCCTTAGTTTTGCTAGAGGTTATTTGATTTATATAATAAAATTAACGTCTTTTTGTCAATTGATACCCTCTATTATAATTTGGCTCGGCTATATATTTTTTTTCTTACAATAATATAAGTGTTTGTAACTCAATTTTTAAGCACTACTTGTGTAGCTCATTGTTCATTATTACCCCAAAACTCATGTAATTTATAATTCATTTATGTACCATTTGATGAATTTTTTAAAGTCATTTATCCATACTTTTGTATCTCTCAAAGTTTATATTTCTTGTATTTAAAGTGCCTGTCAATAAGTTGCACAAACCCTTATTCTAGGAGTTCTTTATTTTCTTAGTTGTTATTTGTAAATAAAATGTTATATGAAAAAAATTTGTACAAAATATTTTCAAATGAAGCCTTTAACATATGCACGTTTTATATTTTGAATTGAAATCCATAGGGAAGTATTCCTAAAATAATTAGAAAAAATCTCATCCTGTGAGTAAATCTTTTTATTTATATAGTGAGCAAATTTTGTTATTTATATAATCTGTGACAAAAAATATAAATTAAGATATAATGAAAGGAAAAACTAGACTAATTAAACTATAAGTAAAAATATAAGAGAGAAAAATGATTAATTTAGAAATAATGAGAATTACATTCACTCAACATAAAACTATGATATGCTCCCATGCATTGCTGTTAGGGTTGAGGTTAGTGGTGGCGAGTTTCTTCCTTATGGTTTCTTTCCGATAGAGGAGTTCCTTCCTTAGGGTTTCTCTCCGATAGAGGAGTTCCTTCATCCCTACTTTCTTCTTACCCTTACTTTTCTCCTCTTGATCTCTCCCTTCAACATAGTCAACTGCCTTGTTTTGGAAACTCCAACCCAAAGAACCACAAGGTAGTGACATATTTAGGTTTTACAGTGTTTTGGCATCCTAAGAGGTCAACTAGTTTTACATTTGTTGTTGATTTTAGAAGGCTACGATTAGAACAATGAGGGAATTGCTCTTGTTGGTGGATAGGGTTTCTCTTATTCGACAGGTAAGAATCTCACCTCGATGCATCTTCTTGGATAGGATCTTGGCAGGGATAGGACTCGGAGAAATTGGTTCACACCAGTTTCTGATCAAGTAGCCGAATACAAAAGGAAAGGGATGTTGTTGGTGAAGCCGATTGTGTTATGCAAGGGAAGAATGATATTCAAGTCGGTAAATGGGCTCTAATTCCCTTAATGGGTTTCGATGGCAAGGGCTTGAAGAGGATTGGAAAAGATGAGACCATGGTTAGGAGCACATCGAGACAAGTGAGGTGCCTTGTACATGTATGGAAGAGGACCATGCCCTTCCTGTTGGTTATTCTTTAAGAATAGATAGGACGACAACTTGTGAGTTAGGGCCTATTTATTGCTAGAATCCCTTGTTCTCCCTATGAAACTAGTTAAATAGATGAAGATGTCTAGTAGCTTCTAATGCTCATGGATATTCGCCTTTCTACTTTAGTAGCCTTATTTAGCTCATACAATTATTATAATTACAATCTAGTTGCAGATGACTTTCTTTACTTTATTATCTGTATTTGTCATGAGTATAATTTAAATTTGCTATTAGTGCTATAGGTTATGCTTATACTGCTATCGACTATAATGTCATGAGATGGAGATTCTGCTTTAATTTTTTATTATTTAATATATTTTTTTATTTTTTATATATAAAAAAAACACAAAATGTAGAGAATTACCTTATATTATTTTCCCTATTTAAATGATGTCTAAAAAAGCTCAAAAATCCAATGTTTATACCATGTTTATAGCTAACAAATGGAAAATCGAGATCACAACAGAATAAAATGGTTTCGACATGCTCCATAAAAAAAGAAAAAAAAAAAAGAGAATAATAAATGAAATAATATTTTTTAAGTGTGGGGTGATGCTGGGGCCTCCAATAGAAGTGAGCCAAAACAATGCAAATGTGAAGAAAGATAAGATGGTAATTGGAAAGCAATCTGAAAATTTTTAGCTTATGTGAAGAAAGATGTGATGGTAATTTTTTGGTTTCAAGATATGATGGTAATTGGTAATTGGAAAGTATGGTTTTAGAAGTGTTCTAAAAAATGATGAATGACTTAGAAGAGCCAGGGACAAACAATCACACATGCATCCAAATGCTGAATGATGAAGAATATTTTATGTTTGGTGAATTAGCAGGATCTCTTTCTCACAGTCCAACTGCAGCTCCAGTATCAAGATTTGGCAATTCCCATCACCCAAAACCCCAAAAACCTCAAACAACAATTGCAAATGCTTTCGATTGGGTCCCTGTCTCCATTCCAAAGAATCCCATTAAATCCTGTAAGATCCCATCATAAATCTGCAAGGCCCCAAATTTCTATTTGCAGCCTTTCTGCCTCGAAACCCATGGCCGCACCAGCAGCAGTAACAAGTAGTTTTGGGTTCAACAATTTGATGGAAACTTTCTCAGTTGAAGTGCACAGAGCAGAGAACAGACCACTGAATGTACCCTTGATTGCTCCTTTCACCATAGCTTCTTCTCGGCTAGATAAGGTTGAGAATGTTGCTATCAGGATTGAGTTGAGAAATGGGTGTGTGGGTTGGGGTGAGTCTCCAATTCTGCCTTTTGTTACTGCAGAGGATCAGACAACAGCCATGGCCAAAGCTAGCGAGGCCTGCCAGCTTCTCAGAAGTTATCCTGCCATGACACTAGGCGCGGTATTGAGGGAGATCGGTGGACTTTTGCCAGGGCACGAGTTTGCTTCTGTGAGTTTGATTCCTTCTGATAGATGTTGGAGTCTTGCTTATTGTTTTACTTGCATTTTTCCTTCTAGTGGGATTTTATTATTGGGCAATCAGATCTGCTTAATTGATTTAATTTTCCTTAATGTTTTGCTGTTTTGTTTGATTGATTGCTAAGAACATATGCGTAAATTGGAACATCCACATATTTGGAAACTTCCATAGCTGGCTTGCTCAAATTGATCCTTTCATGGTTTTCCCCTTTGTTTACTCAGCATCCAGGTGGAAACTTCCATATTTGGAATCTTATTTTTCCAAATTGTATTAACTTTGATAGTTAGATGAGTTGAAAGATGGCAATTTGGTTAGTTGGTTGACCAGAACTGAGCAAAAGTTTGATGACTTGGTATACCTTTTTGAAATGTTTTGTTAAAGAATGTGTTGGAGTTGTGGTGTCAAAGCTGCAACACAGTGGCAGCAAAGTGACAGCAACATGGAACTGCACAAAATGGCAGCAGATCTTTTGAATGTAATCTTGCTTTAAATGTTTGATAGATTTTCTTGTTTTAGGTAAATATTAGATGAGAAAAGCGTTGTTTTATGTTGTATTGTTTCTGCTATAAATAGCAGCATATCAACGGAAGAAAATGGGTTCTGACCTCACCAAAAGAGGGAACTCCGGGTGTCTCTCCTTCTCCACGAAGTCCTCTCTCCACCCCCTTTTTACCACCAAAAATTCAACAGAATGTAAGCGTATTATACTGTAAATAGAGGGAGATCGGTGGACTTTTGCTGGGACATGAGTTTGCTTCCATGGGTTTGACTGCCTTCTAATAGATGTTGGAGTCTTGCTTATTTTTTTGTTTGCATTTTTTCTTTCAGTGGGATTTTGTGACCGAGCAATCAATCTGCTTAATTGATTTATTTTCCTTAATGTTTTACTGTTTTGTTTGATTGCTAAGAACATGTGTTTATGGAATGGGTAAATTAAAACATTAACATTTGGAAACTTCCTATTGAATACAGTTGACATAGATAGCTAGCTTGGATTGATCCTTTTATAAGTTTTCCTTGGTTTACTCAGCATCCAGGTGGCGGATTGTGGATCCTTTGTGCTCATTTCTACTCTGGAATCTAGTAGTCAAAGGGATTCTTATTGTTCCAAATTGTATGAGTTTTGATATTTGGACGAGTTGAAAGCAAGCATTCTGTTGTTTGGGAGACCAAAACTGAGCAAAAGCTTGATCACTTGTTATACCTTTATTAAACGTTTTCTTAAAGAGTATGAGCATATTATACTGTAAATAGAGGATTATACTGTTCTCATTAGACTGTTATTGCAATTGAAGGTTAGAGCGGGAGTTGAGATGGCATTGATTGATGCAGTTGCAAACAGCATTGGCATACCTTTATGGAGACTTTTTGGTGGAGCTACAAATACAATAACCACTGATATAACAGTTCGGTTGCTTTTCCTTTTCCCTTTCATTTCTTTATCCATTATTTTTAGATAGTTTGAGAAAAATCTTCTACTGGAGCTGGTTGTGCTTGCCAAAAAGGTTAGCTTCAAACTGTCACTTTTTGTACATGTAGATTCCTATTGTTTCCCCATCAGAAGCTGCTGCTTTGGCTTCAAGTTATGGCAAACAAGGATTCACAACTTTGAAACTCAAGGTGGGAAAGAACTTAAAGGCTGACATTGAAGTTTTACAAGCTATACGCATGGCTCACCCTAAGTGTTCATTCATCTTAGATGCAAATGAGGGGTACAAACCTGCGGCGGCTATTGAAGTTCTTGACAAATTACATGGTAGAATATATAAGAAATGTTAGAGTTTCCACTTTGCAATTAGCACAGAGCAACACAAAGCATAAAGAAAAACCCTCTTGCATGTGCATGATCTGAAGTTTTGAACTTAATTAGTCACTTTTTCCTTGTATGAGTAACATTTACTGCACAAATCTTCTGGTTGAAAGGTTAAACCTTTTTTTTTTTTTTTTTTTCTCTTGCAGAAATGGGGGTGATTCCTGTTCTTTTTGAACAACCAGTTCATAGAGATGATTGGGAAGGTCTTGGTCATGTTAGTCATTATGCAAAAGCCAAATATGGGGTATCTGTTGCTGCAGATGAGAGCTGTCGCAGCTTATCTGATGTAAAGAAAATAGTGGAAGGAGAACTTGCAGATGTTATTAACATCAAGCTTACCAAAGTTGGCGTCCTTGGTGCTCTTGAAATCATCGAGGTGGCTAGGAAATCGGGACTGAATCTGATGATTGGTGGTATGGTTGAAACTAGGCTTGCAATGGGTTTTGCCGGCCATCTTGCTGCTGGCCTTGGGTGTTTCAAGTAAGTGTCATTTTCCTTGTTAAAGTTCCTGTAGAAACTTGCTCATCCTACCGGTTATTTTCTACATTTTAAGCTCCTTATTTTGTGAATATTCTAAACAGATTCATTGATCTAGATACTCCCCTTCTCCTGTCTGAAGATCCAGTTCTTGAGGGTTATGAAGGTATTCTACTCTTGAAATTTATGACCTAAAAGTATTGGTTTCTGAAAACCTGTGTCCAACTCTATGCTTATGGTTATGCATTTGGGGGTTTGATGATCCTTGGTTATTTTTTGTTAGTTCATGGAGCTGATTACAAGTTCACTAATGCTAGAGGCCATGGTGGTTTCCTTCATTGGGATAATATTGCATGGTAAGCCCCTTGTACAAGCTGGTTGTTCTCAAGTCTGCTTGAAAATCTAGTTTACTTTTAACACTGTTATTAATTCTGTTTTAGTACGTTGCTGACCTATACACTGTTAATTTGTTTGTTTCAAGGAATAAAAGTAGTTGGCCATTAGCCTTTACATTGAGAAACGATACAGTAAATCATGAAAACATTAAGAAGAAACAAGAAAATTGAAAACTCAAATATGACCAGCATATTTTGCAAGGGCAAGACTGTGTGTGCTACGGAAGAAATAAATCTCATGCTTCAGAAAATTTGATGATGTAAAGACATCATCTTGGTCTTAATATGTTTTTATTTCTGTTAAGGTGGTTCTGAAGAGGTTATTAACCTGTATCCTTATTTGTTTATAAAAGCATGTGGGAGGGAGACCTATGTTTCAGAGATTGTGTATTCTATCTTGATGTTGGCAAAGTTGGAAACTTATGATGAAGCATAAACTAAACCTCAAAACTCATTAAGTAGCCAAGAGAGCAGATTTCATTACAGTTATAAACAATTCTAGGCCAACAAGAGCTTAGCTGAATTGGCACTTGTGTCAAATTCTTAATTCTAGGGTTAAGGTCAAGGATTCAGATCTCTACAATAGCTAAGTACTTGACTTGATGAAGAAAAAAGAAGAAGAAAGAAGAAATAAAGAAATAGTAAGGTAAACAATTATGGTTGGTATTGACAAAATGAAAAAATTGTTGGGATGTCATCCAAATGGCTATTGGTGTGCTTTGGAGATGGTTGTAGGTTGGAAATAGGTATGTTTTTGTGATTATACATAGTCAAATTTTGTAAGTCATGGTTGCTTTTAATTTATATGCCTATTTTGAAGATCACATTTCAAAGCATTTACTTCTTACAATCATTATAATTACAAACCTTTATTTCTTGATTCTGCATCATTAAGTCTAGTCCAACTAACTATTACAAATGAATTGCTTTAGTTTTAGATGGATTAGCCTTTAGGCATATATACTCTTTGTCCTTTGTTTGAATGAGCAGTACGTGCTTTTGTATACTGTATGCAAAATATCAAGTTATCAACTACTTGCTCACCTTTTTGTAAAAGAAATTGAACAAAATACCGTTGCTGAAAATGCATAAAGATTTTCTTTTGCAATGAGGAACAGCTCAGCAAGTTATTAGTTCCCATTTCTCATGCTTATGGTGCCATTTAATTGCAGAAATTAGAAATCAAGTTCCATTGTGGTCAAGGAGCTCCCTTAGTTTTGAAGGGCTTCCGAACAAATAAACAACGCATAAGAGAATCTCATTTTTGCAGACTAACAAAAGTGCTTGCAGGTGAGATGCTCAGTACCTGTGTAATTGCAGTGGTCTTCATTTTGAAAAATTTCTTCACCGCAAATACAGCTGTTTCTTATCTATGGGATTGTGTTATTATTGCAATTTGAACTTCTGAGGGCAAAACAATCTCATTAAACAGATTCTGTAATTCATTTTGCCATCAGACTTCTTGTATTCAATTGAACGTATTTACGATTGTTGTTTACTTTTAGCATTGTATCTTTTTGTTGTACATTTTCAGAATATCATTTCCTAGTTTAGATCCTGTTATTGTCTTTACCATATATCAAATACAACTTTCTTTGTCCTAATCTAGTATCTATGTAAGATGGCATCAATGACTGTAAAAGATAAAAGTTTGATGTTGCATTGCTGTTTAGTCAGTATACGAGGGATTATAAGCAGAACGAGTAGTAAACAAGAGAACCTTGGTTAGGTGGTCTGTCCTGTGCAATTGAAAACAGAAACAGCATCCTTAGATGTGGGATTCTTATGCTTAGAAATTTAGAATGATATGTGATACATGCATAGAGAAAGAAGAAAGCGGAGGATTTAGCTTTATAAATAAACCTTTCTCCTCTTACATCCTGGGAGTAGCATGTTGCCCTGTGAAATTTATACCTTCACTATTAGATTCCTGAAAAATTGGGACAGGTCATGAACTAAGTATTCTTAAAGCAAACAGTCATTTTGAATTATGAGGATTTAAGGGGTCATCCTATATTGGTTAATTCAGTCTATTTCCCGTGTTAGGGTGAAATGATCATCAGTCTCCCTTTAGATTTGTTGAAGAATTTTCAAAATAGGTCCACATATTTGAAACAATTGTAGAGAATGCATTTGAAAAAGTATGATTTTGGTTTGAATCATATAAATGTGATTTGAATTGTTTATGTAAAATATTAATTAAAAAAATATGATCTTAGTTGGAACTATTTACGGTAAAAATAAAAGATAAAATTCTAATAAATTTCTTAAGGAAGAGTGGATAACTTTGGAATGCAAGAAAACACATGAGTTGAAATTCAAATCAAACAAAATGACTTTTCAAAGAGTTTTCAACTGATAAATTTAATAAAAAAATTATATATTTTCAGTTAATAAATTAAAATGAAGTATCTGTTCTCAACAGATATCTTACACCTATAAATATGGAGTTCTTCCTTTTTTTTTTTTCTTTTTTTTTGAACACAGAAACAAATCCCTACTATTATCTAAATAAAACAATTCCTTTTTGTACTACGATTGCTACAGAAATCTCTATACAAAAACTATTGTTTTGTTATTTTTCAAAGGATAATCCAATGGTTGATCTTGCTAGTGCAAAAGCAAGATTAACAAGGCGCTTCATTGTGTTCTATGGACATTTTAGTTTACTTCTTTCTGCATACCAGATTTGGTGGGAACGAAATTAATCTAAAAGAAAGTGGCATTTGCAGATGTCTTGAAGCTAATGATTTGTTTTCTAACCCCCAATTTCCAACAAGATTCAATCTAAGAGATGTAAAGAACTGTGGGGAAGTCAAATAGATACCATCTCCTAGATTGAGAAGAAGAAACAGATGGTTTAATGCTAACTCATCTAGCCTTGGAGCATCTTTTCCTCCATCCCTTCTTTCCTTTTTTCTTTTTCCCCATCAGCATGGCACTGTCCTTCCAAAAGCTTACCCTGCTTACGTTATATTGCATGAGGTACAGAAGATGGGTGACCTTTGTTACAGTGAACACGAAGGACAATAATGAATCTCCTGTTTCCTGTTCTAGGATTCCACTTTGCTGTTTTAGCTCTCTTTTAAATACTAGAATTCCAGCTGTCTCATTAGTATCATATTTCCTTGGCTTCCACTGAGAATCTGAGATCCACATTCTGGAGGTAATATATAGCCACAACTCTTCTTCTGTAAGGAAATCACAGCTAGAAATCAATTAGTTAAGAGCTGGAGTTGCAATTAGATACAAGTTTGGTCTTCCATCTTAATTCAACAATGTTCTTATTCATACCAAAACTGGGTCTTGTAGAAGATAGTAAGGTTGAATTTGCTGGTAGTGAGGTGGCATTGTCAGGATCAGGAAATTTTAGTTGGTATAATAATGCAGCAAAAGAAAATATTTCTTTTTCTCCATTTTTTACAAGAATATTGGTTGCTAATTTTCGAAATCCATAAACTTTACAAATGATTAAAGTGACTGCACCTTTCTCAAGGCACTATCTGTAGGTGGATGGGAGATACAACACAGCATTTACATCGCATGCCTAATCATTATGCACATTGTGAATATAATCATGTTCTAGAATATTCATTTTCTACCCCAACATTGAGAAATAGGAATGTATGAGAGTATAATGTTTTAGTGGCAGCTGTTGTAGTATGATGATCATTGTGAAATTACTAAAAAGCAAGTGAAATCTTGAGTAGATAACTTAATGGGAAGAAGCGTGAAGACGAAAAGTAGAAATTAGCATGATTTTAAGGGTCCTGTGTAATGATATTAAGCACTTTAATTTTGACTTGGAATGGACCCTAGCACACTGTCGTATGGATTTCACAGCAAACGGATTTACTCATGCCTGGTATAGCTACAAAACTGATGAACTGTTGAATCAGACACTCCCTTGGCATTTTCCTTTGTCTGAGGAAAATGGGGGTTTGTATTCATCAGCTTTGTTTAGGCCACGCCAGTGATCTTAGATGGTTAGATTCTGTGTTGAAATAAGGTAATCATTGCAGCACATAATTGCAACAAGGATCACGCAACATGGTTTTCTTTGTTTAGTCAATAGAGCAAGTCTGGAAATCAAGAAGTGTACTGTACATGTGTATGATAAAGTGAAAATTAAGGGACTTGGGTGTGTTCTTGGTAGAGTATCTATGCAAAGGACCTCGTGCAATTGCACATGCTTTGCACATTTTACTTGCAAAGCATCCTACTTTCACACACTATGTTAAGAAGTGTGATTACATCTCTAAGATCTAGGGTATATAATGATTGAGATAAGTGTTGTGCGTGATTAAAGTTCAAATTTAAGTGTAGGTCAGATTAATGATGGACGCGTGTTGGTAGCACAAGGTAAGGAAAAGAGAAACATTGTAACAATCTCACCGAAAGGCAGAGCAGGAGGAGTGTGCAAAAGTTTGATGCATGGCAATCAACAGGGAAGAAATTGAATCAGTAATAATGAGTAGGGACTGCCTATTCATGCTTTTATACTACATTTTCATGACAGAAAGTAGCTTTCTCATTCTTTTCTACACTTGAGTTGCTTGCATCTTAGTTAAAATAATTTTAGGTAAAGCTAATTGTTGGACGCGGCGGGTTATCATGCTAATCATTGTGACTGAATGCTGTCTTGCCCCTGTTTTCCTTTGTAGAAGCTTTTAATCTCTGCATTTGGATATATTTTATGGTATATTTGATACCCATCTGATGATGGTTTTATGGATTAAACTGGATGTAGAAGTGATAAGATTGCTGTTTTTTAGTTTAGACTAACAATTTTTTTAGCGAATTCAGACTGAGAGCAACATTGTTAAAAAATGATTTCCTTTTTAATCTACCAATGCATTGGTGAATCAAGCAGTGTATTTTGATGCTCGGATCTCAAAGTAGTCGATGATTTTTCTTCTTTTAGTAAGGCACCGAATTATCATGGAAGTGGGCCAATTAATATCAAATATTTTAATTTTCTTTTCCCCACCGTATGATGGCCACTACCAATTTGTTAGAGGTAAGGATAATTGGTAGTGGAAATGCCTTTTTGAAATTCATTTCCCCCGACGTGTGCCTCTATAAATTGAGAAACAACCCAAAGCACAAATGCATCAAACACATCATTAACTTTCTTATCTCCTCTCTCACAGAAACGACACCCAAGTACGTTCTACTAAAACAAGTGAAAATGAAAGCAGCACACATTGCAGTCTGCACTCTGCTGGTGCTTCTCTTGACTGAAACTCAGGTTTCAACAGCAGTGACATGCAGCCCGACGCAGCTGAGCTCCTGCGTGAGCGCAATAACATCTTCAGCTCCACCATCCAAACTCTGCTGCAGCAAGATCAAGGAACAGAAACCTTGCCTTTGCCAGTACCTCAAGAACCCGAACCTTAAGAAGTTCATCAACACCCCAAATGCCAGGAAAGTTGCTAGTTCTTGTGGAACGCCCTACCCAAAGTGCTAATCCATCATCACCAGAACCCTCCAAGGATCTCTTCTTTTATGTTTCTCTTCATACCACCTGAGGCTCATAAAAGGGGAAGAATGGAGATTATTAGTTAATTTATCATAGTTTTGTGCGTGTGGTATTATGATCTTAAATACTTTCTTGTGTTGCTTGTTTGTAGTGGAGAGTACTAGCAAGTTGTGAGGAAAATGATGCTGGATCATGTGTTCTCCCATGTCACCAATTTGAGTCTCTTACGGGTGTTGGTCTATATATTTAAGTTATTACAGAAGCACTATCACTAGTGGAAATCAGTGTTGTATCATTACAATCTCTCTCTCTCTCTCTCTCTCTCTCTCATCGCATCTGCAACTTCTGGGTCTTTAGAGTACTAATTATTTTCTTTGGCTTGCTTTTAAGGGAAAAGAAAAATCTTATATTCTTAAAAATAGTCTCTTGTAAAAGTGTTGTTTGAATAGAGTTTTTGTAAAATTGATGAATCATGATATCATATAAAATCATTACAAAATTTTTTAAAATTGATCAATATTATAAAATTAAGAAAAATAATGGCAAAGATTCTATTCCAAATGCTACATACTTGTAACTCAAATTGGTCTCACATGTTACCAACCGTTTTTAAAGGTTGAAGTTGAAAATAGTTTTGCAGAAAAATCACACTTCTCAAAAAATTACATTTGACTTAATTTCAACTTTTATAGTAAAAAAGACATTTTTTAAAAGTTACACAAAACAAGACATGTACTTTGTAATATTAGCTAGTGAGGAAGCTTGTTTTGGATGTGGATTATACCCCATTGGGCACTTTAACTCCTCACTACCCTAAGCTTCAAATAGAGAGAAAATAAGCCACAATCATTTCAACAATAGAAGCATTTGCCTGTTAATTCCAACATTTTGCTCTGTTATCTCCTGCCAAATGCAATGCTACTCTTCTATAATTGTGGATTAGAAATGAAAATGCACCAAATTATTTAATTAGACATGTCCATTAACCTTTAAAATTAGATGGCAAATTCAGCAAAATGCCCTGATCTGTGGGGTTGAGGTAGAGAGGAATATCTCTCCACCGTACTAGGTCATGAAATTTTGTGGGAAATCTTCAACTGTGGGGGCTATGCTAGGATCCCTAGCTAATTTCTGTTCAACAAGAACAACGTATATAAAAAATTTAATTGTCATTCATATAAGATCCGTACATGTTCTAAAGCTTTTGCAGCTTTCTAGGTGATATCTAAACCTATATATTTTGTCAGGTTGTAAGTGCATGCTTTGATCTATATACGCAACCAAGAAGCGCTGAATCCATGAGACAAGGTTTTTAGGTAGTTATCAAATGGCTTATAGGAAATGAAAATTACCTTATGGGTTTAAGAAGAATCAAACACCTATTGATCAGGTATATATACAAGTATTTAACTGCAGATAATAAAAGACAAAGCTGAAGCTAGAAGCAAAATATGCAAAATTAATCAAAATCCAAAAGTCCACAGATGTATTATTCCAACTCAAGATGATTCTAGTTCTAATTTAAAAAATGCAAAGCATAAAAATATGGATCAATCATCAAGTTCTTCCTCAAGCTGGGGATTGACCACCGCTCCAATGAAGAATGGAACCTTGGAATTATCTGCCCTAATCATAAAGAGAAAAGGATGGTCTGCAATGAAGTCCACAAGGGCAGGCAGTGGCTCATAATACATGGAGCATCCCATATCTTCGCAGTCTGTTTTAGCAGCAGCCTCCATCCCTTTCTCATCAACTGCAATGAACGCTCTCTGAACAACAAACAATGATCGACCAGATTCACGGCCATGCAATGGCTCTATTATCGTTGTCTCTTGTAGGCAAGGGAATTGAAACTTCATCTACTTCATTATATCTGAAACAATGAATATTTCGAGAACTTGAACTTCGGAATCATAAGCTTACAAATACGAAGGTTACTGAGAGGGAAGCCTTGGTTCAGGAATTCTGGATTAGAGTCGAATCGATGTATTAACTTTCTGAGTCCGTCTATTTCATCTGGAAGAAGGAAGTACATGTAGAAACGTTTGTTATCATTGCATGAGACTTCATAAGGCATAGCCAGAAGTTTGAATCCGTCCAAGGAGGCGTAGTAATGGTCCACAAAGGAATCGATCAAGAAGACGGAAAATATTAGCCCAGCAATTATTGAAGGCTTTTCTGGAAGCAAGGAGGCTGCGTTTGTCAATAAAGTGATTGAAGATAAGGATCCGTTCTGGAGAGGATATGAAAGAGAACAGGGATGCATAGAAGAATGGTTGAGTAGGCGAGCAGGAGAAAGCTCAAAGAAGAAAAAAAGGAAAATCAAACTGTGCAGATTGGTGTATGCAAAATCAAGAGCAGTGGGAGCGGATGCAAAACAAAAGAAAAGACATGGAAAACAGAGCATGCAAGATGCAGAGAGGAGAACCGAACCGAAATTCCTAGCTAGCCCAAACGGGAAGATCGCGGGCGGCTCTGTAGGAGACAGTGGAATCCAAAACTGCAACAGAGGCCTGAAGAAGCAAATGCAAAACCAGCTAGCAAAGGATATCTGGGATCTTGCAAAACAGTTGGGGGCAGTGGCAGAGGATGACAAGGAGATAATTCAAAGAATTGAGGAGATGGAGAATAGAGATAGCCGAGCAAAGTCGGTTATGGAAAATCACGACTCTGGGAGTGAGAAGAAGGTTAGTCATGATCTTAATGATATTGTTGTCCTTTAACATTAGAGGCCTTGGAGGGATTGGAAAAAAAAAAGACAAATTAGGGAGTTAATTAAGAAAGAAAAAGTAGAGTTTCTAGCTATCCAAGAAACTAAGTTGCAAGCAGTAGATAGTAGGATTTGCAGAGGGGTTTGGGGTTCAGAGGATATGGAGTGGATCTCAAAACCATTGATGGGCTTTTTGGGTGGATTACTGTGTATTTGGAATCCTAAAGTGTTAAAGATGATTGAGGTAATTGAGGGGAATAATTTCATTGGGGTATACGGAGTTTGGGGGGAGAAAAAAATACCAGTGCACATTCTAAATATTTATTCTCCTTGTCAATTGGTGGGTAAGAGAGCTTTGTGGGAAGAATTGCAGTGTTTGGTCTCTAGTAGAAATGGAAATTGGTGCCTTGCAGGTGACTTTAACGCCGTAAGAAGTATAGAGGAAAGAGCAGGTTGTAGGGGGATGTCTGCAGAAATGAGGGAATTTGATGAATTCATACACAGTGCTGATCTGATTGACTTACCGTTAGTGGGTAGGAAGTATACTTGGTATGATTCCAATGGTCAATATATGAGTAGAATTGATAGATTCTTGATTTCGGAAGGATGGCTCTCAAACTGGGGTGATGTGAAACAATGGGGCCTGCGGAGATCAGTGTCTGACCACTGCCCGGTCCTCTTGAAGGATGAGAAGATCGATTGGGGCCCAAAACCATTTAAATTTTTTGATGCATGGCTGGAGCAACCCGGATGCAAAGAAACGATCAGAAAAGCTTGGAATTCTAGTGAAGTATATGGGGGGAACGGATTCAAGCTGAAGGAGAAACTGAAAATAACTAAGAAGGCACTAAAGGAGTGGAGTAGCAATTCAATAGCAGATGTGGATAGCAAAATCATGGAATCGGAAAAGATGATAGCAGTAATTGATGAACAAGGAGAGAGATCCATGTTGAGCAACAGCGATGTTGAAAAAAGGAGATATTGCTTTCTTTATCTATGGAAGCTCCTAAGAATCAATGAGAGAATGTGGCAGCAAAAGTCAAGAATGTTGTGGTTGAAAGAAGGGGATGCGAACACAAAGTTCTTCCATAGGTGTGTGAAAGGAAGAAACAGAAGAAACGAAATCAATTGCATCCAGATAAGTGGGGAACAGCACACTGGGGCAAAAGAAATAAAAAAAGAAGTTGCCAAGTACTTCGAAGACCTGTTCACAGAAGAGAAATGGAAAAGGCCAAAGCTTGAGGGGATCATCTTCAAACAGATTTCAGGGGCTGATAATGAAACCCTCACGACCCCATTTGCAGAAAAAGAAATCAAAGAAGCAATCTGGGAGTGCGGATCTTCAAAAGCCCCAGGTCCAGACGGATTCAATTTCAGATTTATTAAGGAGATGTGGGAGGACATCAAAGTTGATATCATTAATTTTGTACAAGAATTCTATAAGACTGGAAGAACTGCTAGAGGATCAAATGCATCCTTCATTGTCATGATTCCAAAGGTCGAGAATCCACAAAAAATAGAAGAATATAGACCCATCTCACTCATTAGAGTCATGTACAAAATTATTGCAAAATTACTTGCAAATCGCCTACGGAAAGTGCTTCCAAAGATCATTGGGGAGCAACATATGGCATTTATCGGGGGCAAACAGCTAGTGGACGGAGTTGTGATAGCAAATGAAGTCATTGAAGAGATCAAGAGGAAGAAGATGAAAAACTTCCTATTCAAAGTTGATTTCGAGAAAGCTTATGACAAGGTCTGCTGGGACTTCATCGAGTACATGATGATGAGAATGGGATTTAATGATATCTGGAGAAAATGGATATGGGAATGTCTAGCATCAAGCTCGGTGTCGATTCTCATTAATGGAAGCCCAACAAATCAATTCCCGGTCAGCAAAGGTTTAAGACAAGGAGACCCGCTATCCCCTTTCCTATTCTTAATTGTGGCAGAAGGACTTAATGGGCTAATGTCCTCAGCAGTGGAGAAACAACTATACAAAGGCGTGGTGATTGGTAACGAAGGAATCGCGGTCTCAGACCTACAATTTGCGGATGATACTATCTTCTTTGGAGAGGCATCGAAAGACGACATTGGGGTTATTAAAAGCATAATGAGAACATTTGAGTTGAGTTCTGGTCTTAAAATCAATTTTGGCAAGAGCCAACTAATGGGGGTAGGTGTT